TCTGAATCAGACCTTCCCAGGCCTGAAATGCTGGAGGCTACAAGGGAACGGGGGGAAAAACCCTGCTCAGGCCCAGTCACTCCCCTTTCCAACCTCCGCTTTCTGCAACCGTGTGACTGACCCCAAGGAAGGAAGGAAGGAAAGGGACTTATAAAAATGGATGGATGGGGTATGGGGATGAATATAAGGACATGCTGCTAGTCCTCCCCACCTGCATTCCCACCCCCTATTTGCCCCCTGAACCCCAACACCTAGGGTCTGAGCTAGGACAGGGCAGTTACACGCTCAGCAGCTGGGTCTGAGTGGACGTGCTTGTGGCCGGAGGTCACTGGCTGTGTGCGTGCGTCCAGCCCTGCCCCTGAGGTCCATGCCCCCCAGGGCAGCACCGCGGTCTGGGGTGCAGGGAGGTGCCTGGCTGTGCTCTGACTCTGTCTCTCTCCCCCTAGGTGTTCCCGTGAGGAGGGAGGATCCAGACTTCAGCCTCAACCCCAACCATAGCCTATAAGCCAGCCAAAAAGCCAGCCATCCCATTCGTGCCCAGTGCCTGCGAACCAGGTCGGCTCCCCCAAGGATTGAGGCCTCCCTCCTGGCACGACGAAGAAGCCCCCAATGCCTCGTCCTTTGACAAAGACCCCCTGAGGACACGGGCTCCCCAGCCAGGCACGGACTCCTTTGCTTGCCTGGAGACTGTATAAAACTCTCTGAAAGATAATTTATTTTGGAGGAGCTGGTCAAAGTGACCAGTTCAAACCTGTGTATCAGGGCTTGCTTTTGCTTTGCAAGTCAGGGTATTCGCCCACGGGGGATCTCAAGGCCTCGGCCTTCTGAAGGAAGAGCCCCGGGGCATCTCCGCGGGACTGGATAATGCAAAAGCAGGCCTGTGTCTCCGTTAAGTCGTGCTCAGCTGAGCTCTCCCTGCAGCCAGGCCTGACTTGCTTTCCATAGCCAGGCAGTGGGTCTCACTTGGTGAGGTGAGAGCAACCTCAGCCCATTTTGTTGGGTGCTGGGTACCATGGAAAGCAGCTGGATTGATGCCCTGGCATGGATAAACCCTGCTGGAAGTCCCATGGAGAAGAACTTCATCCCAGCTCCCTGCTGCCTTTCCTGAGGCTGCCTTGAGACCTGGGTGGATGACCCGGATGTTTAGTAGGATGCTCTTGGACAGCCGGCCTGGGACAGGGTCTTCCCGGGAGCGACAGCACAGACTGCGTGGGCCGTACTGACTCGGGTCAGTCTGGGACACTTGCAGACTATTTGTACCTTGCCTTGGTGCTGCCTTGAAAGCCCACGTGCACAGCCATGAAAGCGGAAGGGCCGGCGGGCAGAGGAGAGACTAAAGCTCCCTCAACCGCCCTAGTCTCCACGCTCCGGGATTGCCCCAAGATACGAAACGAAGCACGGGAGACCTCACCCGCTAAGTGCCCATGGTGCCTCGGCCCCTCCATGACTAACGCTTGTTATTCTCTTGCTGTAAGGACTCTGCTTTCTGACCAGCCCACATTACAATAAAGTCGCGATTTGTACCACATGCGGCACCTATGGGTCTGTGCATGGTCGGCGGGTTGGGGCGTTTGGGGGTGGTGGGCTGCTGTCTGCACCCTCGCATAGTGCGTAGCCCTGCCGGCCGCAGGAGACGAGAGAGACTCACAGAAGCAGAGGACAAGGGTGGGAAGGGAGCTCAGGGGGTCACATCAAGTCCACCCCCCTGCTCCAAGCAGGACCAGCCCCAGCAAGCTCATCCCAGCCAAGGCTTTTGTCTACCCGGGTCTTCAAAACCCCCAAGGATGGAGATGCCACCTCCTCTCTAGGTAACCCAAACTAATGCTTCACCACCCTCCTAGTGAGAGCGGTTTTCCTAATATCCAACCTCAACTTCCCTTGCTGCAACTTGAGCCCACTGCTCCTTGTTCTGCCACCACTGAGGACAGCCCAGCTCCATCCTCTTTGCAGCCGCCCTGCAGAGACTTGAAGGCTGCTATTCAATCCCCCCTCGGTCTTCTCTTCTGCAAACTAAATAAGCCTGGTTCCCTCAGCCTCTCCTCATTAGTCATGTCCCCCAGCCACCCCAACTATTTTTGCTGCCCTCCACTGGACTGTCTCCAATGTATCCACATCCTTTCTGTAGTGGGGGGCCCAAAACTGGACACAGGACTCCAGATGTGGCCTCACTGGTGCTGAATAAGGGAAAAATCGCTGCCCTTGATCTGCTGGTAATTCTCCTACCATTGCAGCCCAGGATGCCCTTAGCCTTCTTGGTAATAAAGGGCACATAATTAGCAGCAGAAATCCATCCAGGACCTGGCACCTCCAAACCATTAGCTGAGACCTCTGGGTCTAGCTGTATCTAGTGGTTAAAAAGCAAGGGTGGAAAAATCACAAGCGCCGGTCCCTGGTTAATGGGTACATGAGCTTACTGAGATGTAGCGGTCACTCCTGGCTCTGCACCGGGGAGACCCAGATGCAGCCTGTCTTCTGGATGTGCCCTGATGGTGGGGGGGAGGTTGAGGGGCAGGGAGGGCTGTGGGCTGATGGAGCAGAGGGTGCTGGGGTGCTCCACATGGCCGAGCTGGTGGGAAACCAGGTGCCGGGGTGTATGAGGCTGGGCATAGGGGAGACCAGCAAGGCTTGCTTAAGGGGTATCTGACTGCTGGATGTTTGGGGGCCAGCTGCTCCTGGACCACAGCCAGCAGCTGGACCTCCAGCCATGCCAGGATTTAACAACAGGAGGCTCAGCAGCCCGTCTTGGCATTACGGGACATTGGGTCCAGGGGTGACAGCAACCTGTCCCCAAGGCCTTGTGGCTTCCCAGGACACAGCTGGATCAGGAAGGGATCCTCTCCCAGCCCCCGGGGCGCTAGGTCAGCACCACAGAGTTTAGCTGAGGCCTCTTATCCTCGCTGGGATGGCAGGGCTTGTGCCCAATGGGACATCAGGACTTGGGAGCAGTGGGACATGCCCTTCGAGGCATTGAGCCCTGGGAAGGAACAGGCCCAGGGGAACCTCAAGCTCCGGAAAGGCATGAGATATGGGCAGGGTTACTCAGGTCCTGGGTGGGGGTAGGGGTACATCTGCGGAGGATATACCCATGACAGTAGCAGGCTTGTGGAGGGTGACCCATGGGTGGGTGGGCTATGCCTACTGGGGCTTCAGGACCTGATGAGGAACAGACCTACTGGACCATCTGGCTCTGGGAAGGGGCGGCGAACCTACAGGGTCAATAGGGCCTGGCAGGGGATTGCAGGACAATGGGCAAGGGAGAGCATGGCCACAGGGTAGGGGCACGTGGTCTGCGTGGCTCTGGGAATCTCTCCCACGTGGGGCTGGAACGTGAGGCTCTCGGTGCGTCTCATCCCGAGCCCGTCGGCTCTGAAGGCAAGAGCAGAGCAGGCACCAAAAAAGGACATCCTGTGCCCATGCAACCCCCTGCCACTGGCCTGCCATCGTGTGCTGGGGCTGCGGAGGGCGCATCTGGGCAGAGGTGCCAGGAAGCAATAGCAGACCAGAAGAGTAGGCTGGGATTTGGGGGGAGTGGGGGGCATCCCGCCAGAGCGTATGGCCCCCTGGAGAAGTGTAAGGGAGGGGAAGCCCGTGCTGTGCAGGGACGTGGGGAGGCACTGCTGCATGCACCGAGTGGGAGGAGTTTGAAGGGTCAGAGTAAGGCCTGGGGGAAAAAGGGGGGTCAGGACCCCATGCCCCCCAGCTCAGCAGGACCTGCAGCACTGTAGAGACCTGGGGGGAGGGAGTCCAGGGCAAGGGCAGGATTCAGGACTCGCTGGCACCAAGGAGGACAGGCCACAAGAACTGAGGCTTCAGCCTCTTCCACGCGACCCCTCCTTGCAAGAGCTCAGGCCACTACACCAGGGACATCATTTGGGAAGCTTGTGGGGGGAAGGAGTTGCGCTGCCCCCAGGATGGGGGACATGGGTGGGGGGAGGGACAGCATCCAGACTGTGGGGGACACATCAGCAGGCAGAGGGCATGCATGGGACCTCCAGGCACTGGTTTGGGCACGTGTCTAGCACAGCTGTCCACGAGCCGACAGCTACAGGTGGTCACAGCAGAGCCATTCCTGCCACACTGGGCCCGGCTATGGGCGGCCCCCTCATCTTGCCCACCCAGCACAGTGCGAGGCAAAGAAATATTTATCCTTTCATCGTCTTTTTTTTCCTTTTTCTTTGTTACTTTTTTTACAAAATGACTCTTCCCTTTCCCTGCAGATGAAGCCTGGCCAGCCCCCCCAGCCCCCAAGGCTCCCACCCTTCCCCTACCAGAGCTTATGGGTCAGCTGCAACCATCATAGGGCACCTGGCCAGCTGCTGGACCTCTCCTAACTTCAAAGAGGTGCTTAGATAATCCTGGAGGACATAGCCAGGAGCTGGGGAAGGACATCCCCCCCCTAGCTGGAGCCTGAGGACAGAGGGGACAGCTCCCTACGTAGTGGGCTGGAATAGCCCACGGGCCAGGTGCAAGGTGGGATGGGACCCACTGGAGCAGGCTATGCGCAGTAGGGCTGTGCAAAGCTTCAGATCACGATTCGGATTTGGAGATGATTCGGACGCTGAACGGATGAATCTGAACCGAATCGCTTCGGAAAAGATTTGGAGCCGATTCGGCCACAGAGTGTAATGGGGCATAACACATGCGACATGAGTTTTGCTTTCAAGAATTTGGTGTGCGGTTTCCCCAACCCCCCTGCACCCATCTCCTTGAAACTTGGCAGGCTGCCTGCTCTCAGCAGAGACTACCACCCCTGCACGTTTCATCCAAATCAGACAAAAAACAACAAAGTTATAGATATTTCATTGAGTCCCCATTACACCCTATGGGCGGATCGCCGAAGCAGCTCCGAAGCCGAATGGAAGCGGGAAACCGATCCGGAGCTCCGAATCGGATCGCCGGCATCAGGATCAGCCCGATCCAAAGCCGAATTGAATAGCTGCCTATTTGCACAGGCCTGCTTACCCCCTGCTGCTGATGTGCTGGCTGGCTTCTTTCAGCTCGCTTCTGCTGACCTGGTGGCCCGAGGGCTTGGGGATCTCCTCCAGGTGGGCTGGAGGCTTGAGAACCATGGGTGGGGAGAAGATGCACCCCCCTGGCCTGCTCTGAGCAGGCGCCGGAGACAGCCAGCCATGCCGAAGCTGATGGCAAAGTCTGGTCTGGATCATACCTGAGAAGAGGGCATGATCCAGACTAGCTGTGTCATAGCAAACCGCCCACCCGCCAGGCCAGCTGCATTTGGAGGGGGTAACTGGACACATCACTCCTCCCTGTCTGTCATGTCTAGCCTGGGGGGGGGAGGGGGGTGCCACCCCTGGATGACAGCAAGACCTGTTCTCCCTTGCACAAAACCAACCCGACTTCAGAGAGAGCAGGAAGCCAGCTGGCTCGGCTGCCTGAGGAGCCCAGTGGTGGGGCGGGGGGTCACCAACACCAGGCCTTGGCTCTCTGGGGCTCTCAAGCATCTCTCGTGTGTGCCGTGCCAGCAGCTATGCCCCCACATCTGAGCTGCTAACACGCCCTGTGCCAGCTGCCTGGGAGCTTAAGGACCCTGGGAAGTGCCCCAACCACCTATTCTTTGGAAGGAGGCCGACCGCCCGGCGGAGCGGGACACATCAGAGGCAGGAGCCTATGTCCAGTATGGATCCTCAGGCCGCTGGCTGCTCAAAGGGCTCGCGTCCCCTGGTGAACGTCCATAGGAAGAGGAGTTTGTTTCCGGCCGGCTCAAAGACAAGGCCGCCGGGTTCACATGTGTCATCTGTATATAGTGCAAATCAGAGCCCCGGATGCCAGAGAGTAGAGCCTCTGGGTTAGTGGTTAAGATGGCTGGGTCCCGTTCTGGGCCATCAAGACACTCGAGTCCTTGCTCTTTCCCATTCACATGTGATTTGCATGTCATCCAGCTCCTAAAGGCTTTCCATTCAGAATGGAGAGGCTCAGACCCCGGGTGACTGTTGCAGCGGCTGCCATGAGGGCTGAGAGGACAGCACCTTGCAGGTCACAAACCCTTGTAGCAAGGCCAGTGCAAAGGCACCTGTGTCCCCCCGGGCTTGGGCACTCATGGAGTGGGGGGATGGTCCTGGTAGGACCCTGGTACAATCCTGAGGGTGGACTGAGTCCAGACATCAGCCCGGCCGCCACTGGCCACCCCAAGATCCAGCTGCTTGGACAGCCCCTGGAGAGCGGCAGCTCTGCGCCCGGCTGGCATAACAGTTTGGAGAGGCAGAGACCGTCTCCTGCCCGTCTGTCCCTTGGAGCCCTAGCAGGCCTGAGGGCTTGGAGAAGGGTCCTGAGTGGGGAGGGGACGGCCAAGAGGGCAGCAGGAGACTCCCCTCCAGGCGGAAGCCACAGCCAAAGGCCCAGTCCTTTTTGGGACGGTGACACAGGGAGAGGATGACGCAGCTGACGGGACGCCGAGAGCGAGGGGCGGGCTCGGAGGGTCCAGCCCGCTTCCTGCCATCGGAGCATCGGAGCACATCTCCGCTCATCACTGGTTCATGGGCTCCTCCTCCATGGGCTCGTCCTGTGCTCTGAGCAGGGGAGAGCAGCAAAGCCCTGGTCAGAGCTCTCTTCAGCGAGGGCTGGACCAGCCTGGCAGCTGGGGCAAGGCCAGCTGGGCACAAAACTTGCTAGCTCTGCTTGTGTCAGGTCCCCACAGACTGGCAGGGGGCACAGTCAGGGCACTTCCCGCTTTCAGTGAGGGGACAGGAAACTCTCCATTGCACCCAACTCCACTGAGTTGCTATGAGTAGGCTCCCAGAGCAGCTAAGAACTGATCTGGCTCATGCTCCCTGCTCACCCTACCAGGGCGAGAGCCACTGCCACCCCCAGTGTCCTCCCTCTGCCCACCATGGTGTAGGGAGGCATAGGCCTCATTGCCTGCATTCTTGCCCTCCCAACCCTGGAGACTGTTCTCAGCCTTGCAGGGCAGCCAGCCAGGCCCCCACGGCCAGATGCACCCCTGAAGGCCCCTGCCTGGGCACTGGAATAGGATGCCCAGCAAGAGGTACATGGGTGACAAGCCCCTGCGACCTATGTACGCCAACTGGATGAACGCCCCACTGAGCTACCCCTTCCTTTGGTTTGCCCTCCAGGTCCTGGCTACTGGGTTACGTGATAGGAGGTGCAACTAGACTGTGCTCCCTAGGTGCATCAAGGTGATGTACAAGGGGACAGTTTGTAGGCACAGACACGATGCATGAGGGATGCATCTGGGACCAAGGAGTCCCTGGCACCCAGCTTTCGGGGACTGTGTTGCAACTGGGTTTGGATTTCCCTCCAGCCCCCTCCAAAAACTCCTCTAGAGCCAACATCTGCCTGGTGCCCAGTATGGTCGCCCCCAGCCTGCCTGCGCCCTCATCTCGCTTGCAGAAACCCAGGGAGAGGTGCCGAGGGCAGCAGGACGGGTGTCATTACCTCTTCTCTGCCATCACGGCCACCGACAGCGAGGCCAAGGCTGTTACCGTCTCCACCTCCTCTGCCTCGTGGTGCTGCGCTTCCAGGAAGGAGCAGCCAACCTTGGAAGCAAAGCGCTGCACGGTGCTCCAGTATTTACCTGCAGGGCGACATGGGGGGCAGGGTTGGCCTGCGGCTCGTCACCCCCAGACAGGCACCAGGAAGGAGTGAGGGCATCATAGTGGGAGGGGAAGGGGGGTTCAGGGCTGCAATCAGAAGGCCCAGCCTTGGCCATAGCAGTGCTGGGGGGCCGGAGGGAAGGAAGCAGCCAGTTAAGCTTCCTCTGGGAGGAGAGGAGGCACTGACATACCCTCTAGCATGGAGACCCAGCAGACAGGGATGCCCCCATCCAGGGCCCAGCTTATGGCTGACGCCTGGAAGCCCACTCCTCCAGCTCTCCAGGTTGCATGACAGCAAGCTAGCCCCAAGTTGCAGCATCCACTGGGGTCTGGGATCAGCCAGAGGAAGGAGCAAGAGGCCCCCGCTGCAACCACTGACAGTAATTAGCCCCCTTCCCTGAGCTCCCGCCTCGCTGGCTGGGGACACTTACTCTGGACCTGGATCACCGTTTCCAAGGAGCGCACGGCGTTGGGGTTGGGCTTCTGCCTCAAGCTCTCCTCGGGGAGGGGATCCGGCTGCGGGAGCAAGCACCATCAGGGCCATCACAGCCATGAACAGGACCCAAGCAGATACGTACAACCTGGGCACATTGCCACGGTGGCTGCGGTATCGCTCCCCCCTCCTCACCTCGTTGCCCAGCAGGGCTGAGACGCAGGCCTCCGAGGCATCGCAGATGGCTGTGAGGTCATGGCCACCTTCCAGGGCGAGGACAACGGCTCCTCCTGCCAGACTCATCAGCTGCTTGGTCATGTAGCCGAAGCCTGGAGGAATGGGGGGAAGTCAAAGGGCAGCCCATCAGCCCCCAGTGCGGCTCTGGGCCTATCTGGAGGCTGACCAAACACCAGGAGCAAGTCGGGGGCCAGCTTTGGGTGTCAAACACCACCTGGCCCTCAGAGCAGGGCTCTGGACTCAGTGTGAGGATGCAGGAGCCCAGCTAAGGCTAGAATCGCAGTCAGCATCCCATCCACAGCTCCAAAACTCACCCCCACCCCTGGCTTTCCCAGGCCCTCTGCTCCCACAGCCAGCCCCAGAGTCACACCCCAGTCCCATACTGGGAGCAGGCATCTCCCCTGATCTGCCCCAGCTCAGGGTAGCACCCGCCCGGCTCACAGGTGCTAGGCAGCTTGCTGCGAGCCAGCCTAGATGTTCCCTCTACCTGTCAGAAACTTACACTTGGCAGAGACTTTGTAGCCTCCCAGGGGTGGCGGGTGGCCATCAGCTGCATCGAACCCCGCAGACACCAGCACCACGTCTGGGGAGAACTCGTGGGCAATTGGTATCACGACTGTCCTGCAAAGGTTGCGGGAAGACAAGGTGCACCAGGTGAGGTCCATGTGCAGCGGGGAGCTCTCTTCCAGCTTTGGCACTGCCTCAGTGGTCCTTTCTGGGCAGCTGGAGCACGCCAGCTCACAGTGGGGGGAGCCAATACCACCAGCCCGTGACCCCCCAACACAGCCCATGGTAGGGAGGGTGGCGGGGTCTTCCCACGCCTGCGACTGCTCCGGCAGGTGAGAGCACCATGGACTCGTGTGTACTCTGAGAAACATTTGGTTGCAATGACAAGGTGACTTTGTTTCCCCTCAAAAACAACCGGGAAAAAAATCATAGTTGGGGTCAACCTACAATCAGGACTACGCAGGGCAAATGTATGGAGCAGGCGACACTGCAGCAACCAGCCAGCTGTGGGAGGTTACCCCCCACCCCGAGCCATCGACCAGGAAACAGCCCGTGTGGCTGGCAAGAAACTAGAGGGCTGAATCGGAGTCACAAATGTGGGCATTTCATGAAAGGAAAGCGGGTTTTGAATGTGCTTGGCGTTTCTACAGTGGCTTGTGGGTTTGCTAGCTGGAAAAGACTCAGGACCCTGGAAACATCTTCCCACACAGCTAGACATTGGCATTTAAAATACTGAAAAGATAACGAAAAGTTTTGTTTGTCCCAGACTACCTAAGAGGACTCTTATACATATATATTTTTATTTTGCTATTTTTAGTGCATTTAACCTTCTGGGCCCTTTCTTTGGTTATTGGATTCTCTTGCAGGTCAATGATTTCACTGGTAGATACTGACCTGAACTGGGGAAAGGGTTTGTTTCTCTAAAACCCCACCTGAAAACATGGTGTCATCTCATAAGCAAGGCTGACTTACAGTCAGGACAAGACAGTAAGGACTGAGCCTTGCTTGTCAACACTAGTTCACTGCTGGTTGTTTGAGCTGATGGGATGCAGATGGCGTGAGAGCTGGAATGAAGGTTTGCAGGGACGTTGGGGGGGAGAACGGGAGTTGCTTCCAGAAAGGCAGTGCAGATGGAAGTGAAGAGAAGATAAATGGACAGGGAAGGGGTGGGAGAGAAGGAGGAGCTGGGATAGCTGGAGTTACTTGCCAATGATAGGTGCTTCTGGGGTAATGAGGGCTGGAAGGGCACAGAGCTGTCCAAAGCAGCCCCTCACCCTGGGGAGACTCTTTGGGTAGGGGCACTGGATGTATATCCCAAAGCACCACAGCTCAAAGCCTGCCCATCACTTGCAGATTTAGATGGGTATAAGAGACACTGCATGGAGAGTAGACAGACAGACGTTGCCAGCAGACAGATAGGCTTGGCTGAAGTCCCTTACCAAGTCCACCCCCATCCTGGCATCCTCCCAGTCTGTACATGGACCAGGAGAAAGGTCCTCTCCAGCATCCCCCAACTTCACGGGAGTCAGTGAGGCCTGTTGGGTCTCGGCATATGGGTTTGCTGGTTTGAAGAGCAAGCTACCTGCCCCACTTGGACAGGCGGCCGCTGCTGGCAGTGACACCAGTGGAGCCAGATGTGCCACAGGGTCCAGGATCCCTGTCCTACCTGGCCTTGGGGAGGCCTGAACAAACCAGCACAGGACCTGGGAAAGCCCGTGGCCTCTCTGCTGCTGCACGAGAAGCCTTGGCTGCAGATCTGTCCACCTTTCCCAGTACCCCCAGTTTCCCAGAAGCCAAAAAGAGGGTGCAAGGGAAAGGGAAGAGGCTAGAGCTCCTTGGGGTAGGAAAGAGCAGTGCAGCCCAGGGAGAGAAGTGCCTGTGTCTTGGGTGGTCTCCAGCTCCAAAGGCTCCTGGAAGCTCACAGCAGCAGGAGAAAGGTCTCTGGAAGGATGCAACACAGCCAGGCAGAGAGGTGGGGCTGATGACGGGATGCCTGCCCCACCCCAGGGGCCTACCTGAAAGCTGCCAAGTACTCCGGGTCTCCCATGGGGGGGTCGAGGCCGCCGGTCCAGGCCACATTGACATTAAAGCCCTCGCCGAGGCCAGAGCCAACCTGCAAGAGAGCAAGGAACAGTGCTGGCAGCTCAGATGTGGCTTCCATTGCCCAGGTTTCTAACACGGGGGAAAGCTCCCAAGCTAGCCAGGGAATCCCACAGGTCGCAGCCTGGAGGAGTCCGACTTTCTCTAGACCTTGTGATCTCCCTTCTCGCCGCAACTTCCTAAGTCCCATCTCCTGCTCCTCATTCCCCTCCTCAGCAGACCTCATCCCAGCTCTGCCAGGCTTTGCCCAACCTCTGGTCACTACTGGGCTTGCCTGGCTTAGCCACGCTATTCAGGTAGAAGGCAGGGGAGATTTGCACTTTATAGATTAATCGCAGCAAATCTTTGGGTCAGCCTGTAAGGTGCACACCTACACTGCCTTCTGCCTGGTTCAGGGAGCCGTGGCGTTTCAGGCTAAGGGGACCTGATCTGACATTCAGCCTGACATGGCCCAGGCCAGGGGGTCCCCCAAGACCCTACAAAACTGGAGCAGGTCTCCCAGGGAAGTGGCGCCCATCTCCACTAAGACTCCCCCACACAGAGGCTCTTTCCTACCCCCTACCCTTCCTCAGAGCCACTGGGTTGGGGGCTGCAGCCCAGGCTGAGGATGGCAATAGGGCTGTGCCAATGCTCCTTCTGGGGCCAAACCCAGAGGTTCCTGGCTAGAGGGTCTTGCCCCTTCACTCAGCATCAGATCAATGCCAGATTTGGGGTCAGAAGGGAATTTTACCCTACGGTCAGATTGGCATGGACTGAGTAGCAGGTTGCCTTTCTCTGTAGCAGGGACACGGCCTCTGCCTGGGATATCTTGACTGTGTATTAACAGTCTTTGACATCAGCACGATGTTAGTGGCTGAGGCCCCCCCTGCTTTCCCTGTGGTAGGTTCAGGTGTGATGTCCAGTGCTGTCAGCACTGAAGAAACAGTTTAGATGATGGATGTGTCTGGATGGTTCGGACAGGGATGATCCTGGCTCAGGCAGGGGCTGGACTAGAGGTGAGCTCTGGAGGTCCCACCCAGCCCCACTGCTCTAGGATTCGATGGTAGGCAGGGAACGGCGTTTCTCTGACTGCTTTGGCATCTCCTGTGAGATGTTTCTCATCCTAATCCACACCTGGGCTCTTTGCTCCAGAGCATGGCATGGCCCCAGGACTCTGCCATCACCCCAGGGCATTGCAGCCAGCCTATTTCCAGCCCTGCACTGCCTTGAGGGATGCCACCCATCCTGGCAGGCATGGAGGCTGGGCGTTGGGGACGCTAACCTCATCAGCCGCCCCACTGCCGGGGAAGAAGTTGCCGTTGTCGTGGCGGTGTATGGAGATGTAGAGGATGTCGGGATCCCGGTAGAACACCTGCTGGGTCCCATTGCCATGGTGAACATCCTGGAAAGAGAGAGATGGGGGTGTTTCAGGAGAGCTCCGTGCTTCTGGCCTTGGGGAGAGCCCAGCCACCTAAAAGTTGGGGAGTTCAGGGCATGGGATGTGCGGTGTTGGTCTACATCCCTGCAGCCTGCTCCCTTTTCCCCCTACGCCTGCCTTGAACCCCTACTGCAAAGCCATCGGGGTTGGGACAGAGTGTGTAAATAGTGCACGCCCCTCCACACTACAGCCTGGTGGACCCAAGTAGGACACAGCTGCAGGGAAGATCGCAGCCCTGCAGTGGTGCATCCTGGTAACCATGGAGGCAGAGATGGTAGGGACCCGCGCAGGGCACAGCTCCGGTCCCAGGAGAGGGCCAAGCTGAGGGGGCTGGAAGGAGCAGGGGCAATTACCCAGTCCACGATGAGGATCTTGCTGAGTTTCCCCTTCTGCTGCAGCTGTCTGGCCGCGATGGCCACTGAGTTGAAGAAGCAAAAGCCCCTGGAGAGCGACAAGAGCAGGAGTCAGCCCATGCACGGGCCCTGTCTGCAGATACCCCTGCCCTCCCCGTGGCTGAGGGTCTCCCTCCCCCCTTCCCTGCTGCACAGGGCTCAAACCTTCTCTCTGCACAGATGGCCCCAGCCCAGGAAGGGGCTGGAGCTGGTGGCTTGAGCTCACGGAGCCTCTCAGCTGTACCACCAGCTGCCAGGACTCCTAGGATTGTGCCCAGCAGCTCAGCTCTTTGCCCAGGGCAAGGCTTTGGGTAGTGACCCAGGGAGCAGCGTGGGAAGGGAGCAGGGAGCAATTTGGAGGCCTTACATGGCTGTGGAGGGGTCCGCATGGTGTCCAGGGGGTCTCACCACGGCGAAACCATTCTGGTGCAAGACAAACAAAGTGAGCCTGACTGCTCTGGTCCTGGGCTCCTCCCCACCTGCCTCCCCAGTGCCAACCAGTCCTGCCTGAGAAGGGAGGGAGGTGCACCAGATCTGCCCAAGTAGACTGTACCCCACCTCTCCACAACCCCTCACCCCCAGTGCAACCCTATTCACCCAACATTTCAGCAGGGGAACAAGACCCCCGGGGGGCAAGAGCTCTCGCCAGACAGGTTCTGGGTGGTCAGGGGTGACAGGGCATCTCCAGTTCCTCTGGGACAGAGGGGGTCCCAGGCTGGCACCCTGAAGGAAACACGCTGCCCTTCTGTCCCTGGGGATTGGGGGTAAAACCTCCCTCCAGCCTCTGTGGTGACACCCAGTCAGCACCAGGCACCTTCTGCAGCTGTGTGGTGGTGAAGATGACTCCACGGTCTCCTTCAGGGCTACCACTGCAGCCAGCTGCTGAGACCCATGGTTTCCTTGATCCTCCCTGCACCACCCTCAGCTGCCTGGGGAATGACCTGGGACCCTCATGCCAAACAGCCTTGGTAAGGCCCATCCACTTCCAGACCCCTTCCTACCTTCAGCTCCCTCGTGGCCACCTTAAAGGCTAGCTCCGTGACGCTGCCCGCAGCCCAGCGGGCAGCATTGGATGAATGTAGCTCGTTCCAGATTGTGTCGCTGTCCACCTGGAGGCAAGGGCAAGAGTGAGAGAGCCACTGAGGCCGGGATATAACCTAGTGTCCTCTCTCCTGAGGCGTAATGCAGCTCCAAGCTGGCTATCCAGTTCAGTGGCTCTCTACATTTTATAGGCTTGAGGCAGCCCCAGAGAGATGGGGGAGAGCCCTCAGAAAATGCCAGCTCTTGGATTTTGCTTGCTTTTGTGCTAAGAGAAAAGTTATAGAGCAGTTTATCTGCTGCAATGAACTCAGAAAGACCACACCGCTGGATTTCAACTGAAAATCTCTGGGTTTATCTGGAGAATCATGATTGCAAACCCAGGAGGTGCCTTGAGGTCTGATCTGGCTGTAGGTGAGAAAACAGCTGCACACTGGGCCAAAGCATAAAACAGTGTCAAGGACAGCGGGGAGAAGATGTGCAGAAAGAGAAGGAAGTGTGGTCAAGAAAAGTCTGCTAGCCCGGGCGTATTTATGTATATAAGGCTTTAACAAAATACCCAGTAGGGAAAACTCAATTATGCAAATAGCCTGGCAGGAGCCAGTAGTAGCTGCCATCATAATAATCATAAAAAATTCAGGTTGGAAGAGACCTCAGGAGGTCACATCTAGTCCAACCCCCTGCTCAAAGCAGGACCAGCCCCAACCACATCAGCCCAGCCAAGGCTTTGTCTAGCTGGGTCTTAAAAGCCTCCAAGAACAGAGATGCCACCACCTCTCTGGGGAGCCCGTTCCAGTGCTTTACTACCTTCCTCATGACAAAGTTTTTCCTAATATCCAACCTAAACTTCCCTTGCTGCAACTGCAGCCCATCACTCCTTGTTCTGTCACCTGCCCCCACTGAGAACAGGCCAGCTCCGTCCTCTTTCAACCCCCCTGCAAGGAGTTGAAGGTTGGTATTCAACCCCGCCTTGGTCTTTTTAGCAGACTAAATCAGCCCAGTTCCCTCAGCCTCTCTTCACAAGTCACGTGCCCCAGCCCCAAAACCAATTTCCATTGCCCTCCGCTGGAGTGGGGGGCCTAAAACTGGACACAGGACTCCAGAAGTGGCATCTCTAGTGCTCCAACAGAGGGGAAGAATCACTTCTCTTGATCTGCTGGCACTGCTCCTGCCAATGCAGCCCAGGATGCTGTTAGCCTTCTTGGCAACAAGGGCATGCTGTTGGCTCATATCAAGCTCCTTGTCCCCTGTAACCCCCAGGTCCTGTTCTGCAGAGCTGCTGTCCAGCCAGTTGGCCCCCCGCCTGTCCCGGTACATGGGACTGCATCTCTAATGAATATAAGCAAGTGACAAAAGGCATAAAAGTCCAGGAAGAAAGGGTCATTGGATTATTTGGCCCGCAAGACCCTGAACTGTCTGATCTACAGGAAAGGGAGCAAGACTTGTTTGCAAGGTACCTAGTGCCTTTCTTAGGCCCCTGTTACACATGATGTCTATCACACAATTCACCAGTGAATGGTGCAATAAATGTATGCCAGCCACACATGCTAAGTCATTATCACACAATTCACTGGTGAATCGCCCAATACATTTAGACGGGCAAAGTCGTCATCTCACAATCAAAATGGCTCTCCAGCCACAAAAAGAGCCAACCTGCTCCAATGCGAGTGCTTGAACATGTGGAACAACTCTAGAGCTGGTTTTCTATCCAGCTTTCATTTGTGTGAGAGCATATGTTAGCTGCTAAACAAGCCTACGCTAGCCAAGTGGAAACTCTTTAGAGCGTTTTCTCTCCTGACAGCCTGCTGGTTCCCCAATCCAAGATTTTGCGGTGCCGGGGAAACCCTCTCTCTGCAGAGGCCTAACGTACAGAGGAGAGACCAGGCGGCTGGGAGCAACCAGCCAAGTCAAGGGCACATGGAAGGGACCAAGCCACATCCCATGAGAGCTGGGCAGGTCCCTCTGCTCCCAGTCAGCCCTGTGCTGCTACCCAAGCTGCCGGCCCTTCCACCGCTGCACAGCACATCTGGACCCCGGGGGGGTTCGAGGAGGGGCTCTTTGAACACAGCCCTCCCTGCACCTGGGGCTGGAAAAAGCACCCAAGAAAATGCATTTTACCTTCTTGCTTTTATGTTACTGTTTAACCCAACATCTTGGTTTGATCAGCTTCACGTCCTGGGCTGAGCAAGGCCAGAAACCTCCACGTCTCTTCTGATCAAGTCCATGTGTGTGGCTCAAAGCACCCCCCTGCCCATGGACAGGGGCAGCTTCGTTCCCTGGCTCTGCCCTCCAGGGGTGAGGGAAGTGGGGTGGGAAAGACTGGAGGCGAATGGGATGGAGGAGAGTTGGCGCCCGGCAGCAAGGGCAAGGGGAGGAGAAGAGCCAGAGCAGGCAGTAGGAAGGCGTGAAGAAGTGAGCCCCTTCCTGAAAGAGAAAGAGAGAGCAAGAGAGAGCAAGAGAGAGAAAGCGGGGAGAGAGACAGAGGAGCAGGGAAAGGAGAATGCAGTGAACGGAGAGAAACCAGTGCAGCCAGCTGCGAGGAGAAGTGCCAGGCATGGGTGCGGGCAAGGGGCACCCTGCTTTTCCCACCAACTCCGCGCCCACCCAGTTGGCACAGTGGTCTAAGGTCGTTACCTGCAGCCCAGGCTCTACTTCCAAGGGCTGTGCATGTCCCCAGGGTCTGTGGAGCAGGCAGTGGGGACAGGCCATGCTCCTGGGGGGGGGCCGGGAAATGCTGAGGATGGTCCCAGGGTTTAGGGCACTCTGGAGGGGTGGGCAGCCCTGCCTGAGGTGCTGTGAGCAGAGGACAGTCTCCCCAGACCTCCAGGGGTGACCCTGAACTCTCCCACCCCTGCCGCAGTGGCCTGGGTGCCTGACTGGGACCAGGCGCTGGCTCATTCGGTGACCACTCACCAGCAGGCCAAGGACTCAGGGAGCTCCCCATGGCTCCAACCCCCTCCTCTTCTGGGAAGAAGGGGCTTCCTCTCCACTCTGCCCAGCCCACAAGGCTCCCCACTGCCAAACAAGCACTTACCCCTACCCCGCCACAGGGCAGCATGACGAACATCCTCTGAGACAGGATCCCTGCAGGGGAGAGTGCGCATCAGACCCCAGGACAGGAGGCACAAGGGGTTGACAAGGGTGCATGGATAGGGTGAGCCTGAAGGGCAGGGTATGAGCAGCGCTGTCCCCCCCTGAGGGGGCATGCTCTTGTGATCCTAAGGGGAAGGCGTCGAGGCATGGGGGCAGCAGGGGATGATGGTGGGCAGGGGACGGGAAACAGAGATGTGGGGAGGCTGGGGGCTGAGCTAACCCCACGGCCTTCCTAAAACAGAAACACACACGAGGGGCCAAGACTGCCCTAGTTGCTGCTGTGTGCGGTGACTCTGAAACCTAACAGTGGGGAGCTAGACAGCTTCATCAATTCTCTCTCTGCTTGAGCCAGGCCCATCAAATGCTGTCACAAAGAGAACCAGCCCCACCGTGCTCTGGCAGCTCAGAGCTGCTGCCCCCAGCCCCTCTGGCCACGACCAAGCTGGCTTCCAGCCCTCAAGAAGCCGGGCTCCCTCCTGGCTATGGACAAACAGGGCACGGTCTGATCGGGCCCCGGGCGTCAGCACTGCCTGGGGCACATCATGGGCTGGGTTTGGTGGGGAGAAGCAGAGAGAACAGGTAGAAACTGCCCAGCCCCTGGGGCAGAGACTCAGGGAGATGGTTCCCAGCCCCTCACCCTAGTGCTAGGCAGGGAGCAGGAGGGTGGCAGCCCAGGTCCTACCTGCCAGCTTGCCGTTGTCCAGTTTCAGGCGGTTGAGGGGGTTGGTGCCGTAGAGGAAGACATGGCGCTCGTTGTGCACCGACTGCAGCTCCTCAAGCGTCGCCTTGCGGCCCCGCAAGCACTACCAACAAGGTGGGCATGTGACTTGGCAGCTACAGAGCTGCAGGCACTGCTGGGCACCTCCAAGGACTGCCTCGCCCACCCACATCCTCCCCAGCCTTGGAGGCTCCACAAGGCCCTGCTGGCTCGAGGCTGAATGGGTGCCGCTTTTGTGGGAGCACAGGCCTCACCCACCGAGGCTAAGCTGGCACGGGTGTGATTCAGGTCTTGTCTGTGTCTGCGGGTCTGGGGAAGGGGGCAGAGCTGCCTGCTCCAAAATGAGCATCATGGAGGGGCCTGGCCCCTGCTCAAGGCCCCCAATCTCTGCTGCCTTGGATGTTTGGGGCATAGGGGAAAGCAGGGCTGCAGCTCCCAGGAGAGGGCACCCAGCAGAGCAGCCCAGTGCATCATAACTAGCGCTTCATCCTCTGCTTGGGGTGAGATCTGCTCCCCCCAGGGACACACAGGGAGCCCAGCCCCACCACGCTGCCCAGCTCTGACCCCTGCACCCCCAACACACCTCACACTGGCTGCGCAGTCCCCTCTCCTGCAGGCGGGACCAGATGCTCTGGATTCGCCCCGCATGCTCCGGGTGGTTGCTGTTGTCCCCGCAGGAGCACTGGTGCTTGAGCATCACCGAGTCGTACACGAGCCCTGCAGCAGACAGTGGAGTGAGATGGCAGGGTCCCGGGGGTTCCCCCTGCCCACCACAGTGCCCCAGATCTCAGCCCGGCACTCAGGGCGAGGTGCAGGGCACAGTCTGACTTAGATTCATAGAGTTGGAAGGGACCTCAGTGGGCTATCTAGTCCAAACCCCTAATCCTGGCAGGCAAGAAAAAAAAAAAGAGTCACCAACCCTGGGGTTGGTGGCTTCACACGGGACAGCTGGTGGCTGGGATGTGCCCTAGGGACAGCCCCCAGGGACTGCCTCTGGAGAGGCGATGAGGCACTGGCTACCTCCGAAGAGGCCAACCCAGCTTCCTGCAGCCAGGGGTGCAGTTTGGGCTGGGTCCATGGGGCAGAGATGAGCAGGGCCTGGCTGCTTCCTAGTGTGCAGCTGGGGTGGTGGGGCTTAAGGGAATGAGATCTGGACTTCTGGGTTCTCTGCTCTGAACCCCTTTGCCTCCAGGCCCCCCTGGAGACCTGGGTGCCAGCAACCAGGGGGCATTACCTGTTGTGAAGTGCGGCTTGGCTGGCGGCTCCTGCACTGGCAGAGCCAGCGCCTTGGTGGGTGTCTCCTGGGTGGACAGGGAGATGGTGGCCGTGGCAGGAGAAGACTGAGCCCTGGACAGGGGCCGGTGCCCTCCATGGATGCTTGGTGCCACCAGAGTGTCGGCCGGGAGCTGGCGCTTGAGGAGCTGCTGCTGCATGCGCTGGTAGGGCTCCCAGATGTAGGGCTGCTGGAGAGGGTGGAAGTGAGCATGACATGGGGTGCGACCCATGTCCCCAAACAAGCAGGCATGCAGAGCACCCTCTGGGCACTGCTACCCCCAGGAACAGGAGGCCAAGAGATGGCTTGCTCCGGTCTTGGCCACATCACGTGGTGTCTGCTACCCACTGGTGGCTCGTCCCACCATTAACAGCCCTTAGCACCCATCCCTGCAAGGTCCCAGGGCCCTGCAGATCCCCCACTGCAGCAGTTTTCTAATCACCCATGGTCCTAAAAGACCAGCACAGACCCCTGGGGCAACCCGTAATGTGGTGGGAAGTGCTCTGCCCAGTGCCACGGCACCTCACATGCAGCAGCTGCTCACAGCACAACCTTTGCTGAGCACTGGGTCACGGAGCCAGGCCCCTGGAAGGCAGGGGACACCGTAGCCTCATTTCTGCTGGTTTGGAGACCACACAGTCACTACCCCCTTGGGCTGCAGCACCGGGCATCCCAGCTCTGTTCCCAGCACCCTTGATTCCCTTCAGCCCCAAGGCACCTGCTGCAGAACCAGCTCCTCCTGAGGCTGCATTGGCTTCTGGCTCCTCTCAGGCTCCTTCATGCTGGCCCCCGGGCGGGCCGACTCCAGCCGCCCCCTGGCCTGGTCGCTGCGCCCGCCCCCTCCTTCTGGGTGCCCCACCTCTGCCTCCATGTCCTCAGAGGAGGGAATCTGCCGTAAACGGGGCTTCTCGCTGGACTTGGTCATGCGCTGCAGGGGACAGGCCAGGGCTGAGAGTGGCTGGGGCTTGAGGAGGGCTCGGGGGGCTCTGTGAGTGGGTAGGGTCCTCAAATGATGGGGGGAGCCAGGGAAGGGGCAATGGAGGAGCTGCTCTAGTTGGGGCTGGTCCTGCTTTGAGCAGGGGGTTGGACTAGATGTGACCTCCTGAGGTCCCTTCCAACCCTGTTCTCTGATGCTATGATTCTTCTGGATCCTTTTGGAGGTGCAGGGTTCACAGAGGGGCACAGGATTCAAGACGCAGATACCCCGTGGCTTTATAAAGGGGCACTGTGATATTTTTCAGTTGTGTTCACAATTCCTTTAATGATCTGGGCAGGGAGCATCACCCATGGGGTGTGGGCACCATGCAGCTGGATGTCAGCAGTGGTGGCATGTGCTTGCTACCAGGAGTCTAAGGGAGTGGCATGGCCAATGACTCGTCACTCACATGCAGCATCTAGCCTGGTAATCGGGCCTCACTGCCTCCAGCACCCGGAGGGTCCCTGGGGGTCACGTCTCTCCTCGCCTGCTCAGCTCTTACCTTGCCCAAAGCCGTCTGCTGCTTAAGCCGCTCCAGGAACTGGGCATGGTGCTGCTGGTACGCCAGCTGTTGCTGGATGGCCTTGGGGTTCTGGGGCAAGGGCTCGGAGCGGGTCCGCCCCAGCGGCTTGTGGTGCCCGGACAGCGGAAGGCGCTCGGCAGGGATCAGCGAGGGGGCGAAGGAGAAGGGCACTGGCCCCAGGCCCGGCACTACGGTGAGAGACACAGGGGTCAGTCACCAGCAGCTGCACCCGGGGCTGCTGTTCTACTGACCCCACCATCTCCAGCTTGCTGCTAGACGCATCTGGCTCTCAAGATCTCCCTCGAGCAAGGGCTCTCGAGCTAGGGCAGGGTGAAGCGCAGTTCTCAAGGGGATGGGTGGATGGGGGAGCCCCATGGTGCCCCAGAGAAGCAGAGGGGTCTTGTGGTCCCAATGGGAAGGAGTCAGGGCATGGGGGCATGACAGGATGGGGGAGGTGGGGAGCAATGGAGATGGGAGGAAGCTGAGCTAACTCCATGGCCTTCCTAAAACAGGAACACACGCAAGAAGCTCCTTCTGTTTCTCAGAGCCAGTGGGAGCCCAGCATCAGTCACAGCCACCTCGAGGATGGTCTAGTTCACCCTGCAGCCAGGCAGGCTGCCAGCTAGCCAGAACATGGCTCTCCAGTGGTGTGTTATGCCCCAGCCCCAGCCCACTGGCGGGGTAACTGAGGGTGAAGTTACACATTACACTTAGACCACACTAAGGGCACTTCAAATACCAGCATCCACATACTAAAGCTCGTTAACCCCTGTGAAGTCCCCTCTGAGCATCTCAAAGTGATGCCATTTGAGGGGAGGGTTAACTCCGGGCCATGCTACCTTGCTCAAGTTAGGGCAACTTCAGTCTGATCCATGGAGATGAAATGACCAATCTGCAGTCCTCCAACATCCCGGGATGCAATGCTCCCCCCATCCCCACCCCAGCACATCCTCACTTTAACAGCGCTTAACGTGCCACGGATTGAGCACGGTTTAAGTGGAACTTCACCCTTGTGAGACTCAAACCTGAGTGACAGAGCCTCCCCAGCCGGCTCTCAGCTGCACCCAGAGCCAGGCTGTGCAAAGCCTGGCACCCACCCCGCCTCCAAGCAGGGCTCAAGCCATCCTCCCTGCAGCTGGGGGATGGGGTGACAGCTACGTACCCGCCACCAGTGGAGCGTGGGTGACTGAGGGCTCGAGGATAATGACACGTGGGGACAGGGTCCCCCCAGGCTCGTGCTGCTCCAAGCTGGCGGGGATGAACATGGGCGGGTGCGTGCCAGCGAGGACAGGCCCATTCAGCACCGGCACCCGTCCATGAGTCAGGCTGGAGAGCATGTGGCGGTCTGCCTCTCCCTGCGGAGACAACGGCGGGGTCAGCAGCTTGGGGGAGGGAGGGAGCAGAGGAGCTGGCTGAAGCCAAGGGACTCCAGGGAGGGGATATCCCTGCCCTGCTGGCACCCAGGACCCTGTGCCCTGGTTACCTACCCTGGCACTGGTGGTAGCGGGCAGTCCCAGTGTGATGGTTGGTAGCGTGGCCGTGCTCTGCTGGGCAAACTGAGCCAGTGAGCTCTCCTGCATCATCAAGCGCTGGGCCAGTGGCGTCTGCAGCAAATGCAACGTATTAGTCTCCAGCTCTGGCCACCCAGATGTGGGGAAAGCAACAGGAGGTGGCAGCCAGGGCTCCAGAGGCTGGGCCTGCAGACAGAGGGGCAGCAAGGACACTGTGGCATGGGGTTCACCCCCAGCCAAGGCATCTGGGCAGCCTGGGTGATGGTGAGACAGCCCCACCAGCTAGGAGGCTGCAGTGAGGGAGAACATGCTCTCTAACAGGGTAGGAGGAAGGGTCCAGAGGGGTCTAGGCATCAAGGGGGTGGGTACAGACACCAGCCACAGGACAGCAGGGACACAGGGCACATGAGCGGCTCTGTGCATTCAAGGAGCTGGGATTTCTGCACATGGATCCCCCACCTGCCCCGTGCCGGGGATCTGGTCCAGACTCAGGGCAGCAGCCCTAGAGGTGCAGGGGGGCCCGAGGCTGAGTGTAGTAGGACCAGCCAGGTCCTTACCTCATGCACCAAGCCAGGCCCCGCGGGCAGGGCCCCATGCTCCGCGGGGAGGCTGTCGTTGGGGGAGCTGCAGCCGGACACTGGGGTGCTGCTGCTGCTGGGGGACGAGTCTGCAGAGGAAGGGGCAGTAGTCAGGAGTGCCCAGGCTCCCACCCTCCATCTCAGGGCTCCCCCAGCCCACCTGCCCCTGGCAGTCCCCGGCCCCCTGCCCTCTCTCACACGCAGCCATCTCCCCACAGTCCCTGCTGCAGGGCCGTGGGCCCACATCCTGAGTGCCAAGCACAGCTGAAAGCTCGCACTGCTATCTCCAGTTCCCCCAGCAGCCCCAGGGGAGCAGTTCCAGGCCAGCCTGGGCTCTGCTCTGGCCGCCAGTTGTGCCAAGAGAGCCCAGACTCCACCAAGACAAGGACCCCCTTCTCTCTGCCACCCCAGGGGCACCTCCCAGCACCCATGGGCAGGGACGGGCGGGGAGACCAGCAGCTCCAGGCCTGTTAACTCTTCTAGTCCCTGATGAATCAGGGGAGCAGTTTGGTACAGCTGCAGGGAGTCCAGGGCAGTGCCATCCATCTGCCCAGAGCTCCCTGGCCTGGCAAGGCCCTCCACAGGCTGGTGCCCACCTCACCCACCACCACAACCTGCACAGCACCCCTGGATCAGCTCCCAGCACACCAATGCCAGCCCTGGCGCCCCTCACCAATAGTCTCCGGCGGCCGCCTCTTCAGCGAAGGGGGCGCGCTCTCCTTGCGGGTCAGCGGGTTCTTGCGCCGGTCCAGTGACTTCTTGGGCTTGTAGCGCACCTTGAGGTTCGGCTCGGAGGCTGGGGGGGCAGGGAGGGGGGCTGTTAGAGCCAGCAACATCCTGCACCTACCATGCCCCCTCCAGCCAGCCTTGCCTCCCAAAGGCTGCCCCTTTGTCCCAATGGCAGCTGGAGAGGGGTGGGCCCTGTGGGCACAGCTGGCAGGACCTTACCTGTTTTCCGCAGCGGGAAGTGCTCTGGGGGGTCTATGGTGCTGGGGACCCGAGCCAGGAAGCTGGTGAGCACAGGAGGCGCCGGCCCCTCGGTATCCAGCGTCTCCAGGGTCCTGCGGGGAGGAGCAGGGTCAGGCCGCCTGCCTTCAAGGGCATTGTGAGCCCAAGCCCTGCACCAGCAGGCACAGCTTCCTCCCAGCTCTGCTCAGCTAAACATCCCCACTCTGGCACCTGGCTGCCCCCTCCACTGTCCGGACCTGGCCTGTAGGGAAGGTGCCAGCTCCAAGTGTCCCCCATATCTTGGGGCCTCCTGGGAATGGGATGTCTCTTCCCATACTCACTGGACACCACTGCCAAAGGCAGCCAGTCCCCCAGTGCCAGCGCCTCCCTCCAGAGACAGCTTTGGACTAGCTCATGGAGACCCCCCGCCACAACACCCCATGCCTCTGCAGGGTAGGGGGTAGACAGGCTCTGGCGCCTCCATCTCACCTGTAGGGCATGGCAGAGGGGTTGGGGTTGCTGGTCCTTTCCAAAGCAGCCTGTTGTTTCTTCAGGATGACCTCAGCCAGCTTCTGTTTGACCACAGTGCTGGCCACCGCACCTAGAGAGACACCGCCGCCATTGTCCCAGGCTGTTAGCACACAGCGGGCACTGACAAGGTCTTCAGGAAGGCACCCATGGGCAGCCCCTTCATACAGCACTGCTGATCCCAGCAGCAGCGACCTGAGCAGCCCGCACCCGGGGCACTGGTTAGTCTAACCCCCAGTGCAGCACACCTGGCCGTGGCAGGCCGGCAGATCAATGGAAGCGATTCTTCCCCTCTATTCGGCACTGATGAGGCTGCATCCCAGCCAAAGCCACTCCATCCAGAAGGGAACCAGACCCCAGCCCTACAGCTATGCCAGGGCATCCCCACACCTCTTCTGTCACACTAGGGAAACTGCCCTGGAGCAGCCAACCTGCTCCCTACCCCTGCGGGCTGTTAGCCAGCCAGCCAGCCATGGGGTCATGCCATACCATGCCTGTGCCCCAGGAAATGGAGGCCTCACTCTATGTCCTCATGCTGGGTGCTGCTGGTATCCCTACAACACCCCCCCCACACACACACACACACACGTGCACATACACACACCGCTGCCCCAGGTTCTGCACATGCCACGTCTTCAGCACCCAGCAGAAAGGTTTCCAGCTGGGGAGGGGGCAGCACATGGGCATTCACCTCTCTGCCAGCTGGCCCAGCTAACCTGGGAGCAAAGGAGCTACCACATGCAAGCCTGGGAGGTCAGGCATCAGTAAGAGCCGTGTTGGGCAACACCTGAGTTAACTCTGCAGAGGTGACAAGCCCCAACTTGTGAGTGACCAGGGGCACCAGGCCCCCCATGACCCAAGCTGAGAGCCTCGAATGAGCAATCAGGGGCCCCCAAGGTGCCCCCAAGGCACCCAGCTCTGTGGAGCTAGCACTGTGGATGGCCAGTGAGAGACCAATTTGGCTCTGGGCCAGGTTTACGCACTCCAGCAGGCCGAAAGAGGGGCAGTTTTCAGCTCAGAAAAAGGGGCCACTCAAGAACCACATCTGGCACTAGCTCTGTGCTGCAATGGGCACTAGATGGCGCAGAAAGAGCACAAATGGGGCAGGCCCAGATGGCTGGGCAAGCTCCCCTGCAGTGACCCTGTCCCTTGGGCACTCTCAGCAACATGGAGTCTTGCCCATCCTGGCAGCTCCTGACATGCACTGGGTAAGGCTATTCTGCAACAGGGGATGCCTGCTGCCCCAACCCAGGGAGGCAGAGAGCTGGAGCTGGCTGGGCCCTGCTTTCTCTGCTCACGGACAGCCCAGGGGCTGTAGGCAGGTGTCCAGCTCAGCCTGGCCCAGCCCAGCAGTGACCAGGCAGCAAGGCTGGGGAGGGACCAGCTGCTCCAGAGCCCTGTGGGTGCACATGGCAGCCACACGCCAGGGCCAGGCTCAGCCACCAGGAAGAGCATCCAGGAGTCTCAGCCCAGCCCCTTCCAGGCATGGACACCCTCTCACCGGGCAGGGGGGTCAGAGCCAGCAGCTCCCACAGCACTGCAGATAGAGCCACACAGATGGAAGCAGAGGTTCTTACTTCGTTTGCTCTTGTCCTTATTAAGGAGCTGCCGCAGCTCCTGCTCCTGCTGCCCAACTTCTGCCTCGTGGTGCGGGGACTCCATGTTCGCCTGCCAGGGGAAGGGGAAAGCATCACCACTGGTGCAAGAGCAGCACCCTAACGGGGCGGGAGCCCGGACCACCCAGCGCCCTAACAGGAATGGAGCCCAAGCCAGCCTGTGCCCTAAAGGGGACGGAGTCCAGGCCAGCCAGCGCCCTAAGGGGGATGGAGCCTGGCCAGCGCAGACCTGGCCAGCGCCCTAAGGGGGATGGAGCCCGACCCACCCAGCTCCTTAAATGGCAGCTGGTTCTTAGCATGGATCCATTTGAAAATATCCAATCCTTTCACTACAGCCACCAAGAGGCCCATTGCTCTGTGGGCACTCAGGTCCCAGTCAGCCATAGCTGCCCATGAGCTGCCCTTAAAGCTTTGAAGACTCGTATAAGCCCAGAGCACTTCAGCTCCGGTATTGGGCTGAGCTACAACAAGCCAAGCTTTTGCTGGGCCTAGAGAGCCAGCAGAAATCCAAATTCCCAACTCCGACCAGCCCTTTCCAAATGGCTTGGCCCTCTCCTCCGGCCCTACAGAAAGTCCCAGAAGCATTTGCTTCCACACTGATTTCAAACCAATCCACAAATTCAACCCGCGGCAGAGATGGGAATGGAGCTGGGTGGCAGGAGAGCCCAAATCAACACCCAGAGCCGAGTCAAGCCAATGCCCGGGCCCCTCAGGGCTGGGGAACAGAGGTGACTGTCCCATAGAGCACAGGACCTCCGGGCTGGTCGCACGGGACATCTGCAGAGAAGCACGGGCCAGCCCAGCCCTCCCAAATCCCATCCCGTGCCTGAACCCGCATCTCTGCTCAAAGGGCGTGTGTTTCAGGAAGGAAACCCTCGGCTCTGGGAAATGAGCCAGGAAGAGCTTTCCCAGCAGCCTGGAAGGGTATTTATATCCTCCCAGAACCATGCAGCTGTGGATTGTCTCTAACGATGCACTCCCTGTTTGGGGAGGCCGTAGCACCAGGTCGACCCCCATTTATTCCTGGTGCTCAGGGCTGTGTGGGGGCCCAGTCTGAGGAGAGCAAAGCAGGGCCAGCAGCTTGGGAGCAGCAGTGTCTGCCCACGGGGGCACCGGGTCACCCTTCAATGTCCACCAGTCACAGCCTTCATGTTGGGTAGGACATGACAGGGCCTGGGCAGGTTTCGGGCACAATCCGCTCTGGCCTTTTCTCAGAGGCAAGAGAAAGGGGATTTGCTTTTAGAGCAGCTGCTCTACTCGATGGGTCTCTCAAGCCGACACACCATGCTGGAGGTCTGCACGGGGCTCTGAGAGCTGCTCCTGGACATGGCTGCGATCTGAGCTGCTCCATACCCCCTAGGCTTCATCGCCAGGGCAGCATCTCTGAAGGACCCCCCCCCGCCCACCCCAGGCT